CTTTGACAGAGCGGGCGAAAGCAACTTTGCGCGCCCGAGAAGGCCGGAAGGGAAGGCTGGTGTAAGCCGCATCTTCCGTCTTCTCTTTGCCTCTCGAAAATTTACCAGCGAGGAGAGATTCTTCTCCAGATCGTTTAAGGCGGGCGATTGTTGCTTTTCTCTGCCTCGCTTCATCCGGCTGGGAGCCTGGTCGAGAAAAGCGCCTGCTCTGCCGCTAACGACAAATGTTCGTGCCCGGGGTCAAGAACTGCCCTCGTCCCCCTCCCGCATTGTCTCCCGCAGCTCCATAGCAACCCAGCTTCGCTGTGAGACCAGACAAACTAGGCCAAGTGCCAAGTGCAAACGCTTGGCAGGTCGTGTGCGCTCAAAACTCGGCTTGAAGTTCGCCGCAGGCAGCCTTTTCAGCGGCCCCAGCGGAGGAGCGCTGCTTTCCCCCCTTTCCCCCCGCGCTCTCCAGAGAAGAATGAGGCTCTAACTCAAGTCGGGGGCGTGGGCGGGGGGACAGCGAGGCTTCTGCAGAGCCCGCGCGCGCATCCGCAACATGCGAGAGAAGAGGCTCACCACCGGTAGGTGCCAGAACGGAGAGGCTGCCGGGGCTCGGCCATCTGCTCCGGAGAGGGTGGGAGAGAATCGGACCCTGGAGATTGCTAGTTCAGACCCACCCGCGCTGTCCCACTGTTCTAAGGAAAGGCATGGTCACGAGGGATAGTGCTGAGAAATAACTTTTTGGACTCCGTGTATCACTTGTGGACAGTGAAAACATAGAAGTCCTGATCTGCCCTTCCTCAAGCACTACTCAGATTAATTTTGGGGTTTCCTCCTTTGTAATTCCCATGTAAGATTAAAACTGACCCCCCATCATTCCATTCCAGCTTTCATGAATAACATTCAGGTATCTCCAAAAAGTAAAGTCTCCAGTGAGCTGAGCTTGACTGCGAAGTTTTCTCAGCAACTGTAGGGTTTGCCATTGACCTCTTCCAGGAAGAATTTTGTCAAGCCTGGGATTTTGTGCTGGTCTTCCACCCAAGTATTAACCCTGCTCAGCTTTGTCAGGATCAGTTAAGGCTGGCTAGTTAATCACACAGTGGTGGCAAATAGTTATCATAAATGCAGAATCAGGTTCACAGTAAAAGGTCCTAATGAAACAAAAGAACACAGTCCAACCAAGGATGAAGTAGCTCTCATTTCATTGAAATAAATGGAAGTTAAACTTTGGTTAATTTTGAGTTGGGCTATTGCACCCAAATGAAATACTTTTTAACATGAATATGTCATTTTTATAAATGTGTAGTATTGTGCACGAACAGGTTTTACTGTGTTCTCCTTTTTTAGGAGGGCCACATGTCGCTCCCCATTCTGTACATAGAACACTGAGCAGGAAAGACAATGACACATTACACAGGTCCCTGTACTCAGACTCTGGGAGGGACAAAAGTGAGGAATCTGTTGTTCCTATAATTCCTCCTCCCTTCACGTTAGCTCTGTTGACTGGGACTATGAATAATTGTTGTTCAGCAACATACAGAAGGCAACAGATGATGCCCCCTCCCCAAGCAAAGGTTTCTAGATCCTCGTTTGTTATTTTTCTCTTCTGAATCGTTTAACTCTCAGAAGTATTTCTGAGATAGAAAGATTTAATTTGCTTAGAAATTTAACCCAGTGAACTCAAAATCTATTATTCTTCAAGGAAAGCTAATTCAGCAGGCCATAGTGAATGTTCCTGGACCCTTTTAATTCTGATGCACCAATTTAGTCTGACACAACGGTCATTTCTCTGACATCTGCCTTATAAAACTAGAATTACAAAACTAGAATTTAGAAACCTAAATATTTTTTAAATATTTGAACTTATGATAGGATTGCCAGTGGACTCAGAGAAATAATCAGAATTGTTCTTTAACACTAGCTTTATATGTAGAAATTGATAGGTGAAACGTTCTATCAGCCCAATAACAGCTTGTCAAGAACTGCCCAACAAGCTTTTTTTTTTTTTATGTAGAAAAGGAACCATTTAAAAATTGGCTACTTTCTTTCTTAATGGCAAACATATACATTCTAAACATGTTGAAAATATCCTCAGTGTTGGCATGAATATTTTAAAATGAATAAACCCCATAAAGAGATTTGTCTCCCGAAATTCCTTACTATCACTTAACAAGCAAGTAAAACAGTATTTTACAAGGGAGGAACTATCTGGATATATGATTTATTTTGTCATTTTTGTTTCTAGTTCTGTGAATGGGATCTTATGACCAGTGTGCTGATCTTAGTGTTTATGATATAGCTATTCTTTTTTTACTGCATAACTGATCACTGGCTCCTGATAAAGCAAAAAGAAATTATGTGTCTCAGTAAATTCAATAACTTCCTAATTGGTCCAGAGAACTTTGATTATTGAATATATAAAATACTATTTTTCTTTGTGTTTCAGTGCCTCCCTGCATAAGAGAGAATGAGTTTGTAAGTAAACTGTTCTTCCTGTCTCACTGCAAATGATTGAAAATAGTAATTTAATTGCTTTCGTATCTGACATTTTTTCAGATATAGCAACTGTGCTGATAGCAGTGTAACTGACAGTTAATTATTGCCTCCCATCTGCCCTTTATTTATGGTTATCAGCTGCAACAACCAAATCCCTAATACCTAACATACGCTTCTTTCCCTGAGATAAGGGTCTTAAATGCGATTTTATTGATGGCAAAGGATTAAGTCTCTTGAATCAGAAATAAATCCCACTGAATCAAATACTGTTCATTCCATGTAACTGTGAATAATATTGTAGAATAATTTGAAAAAGAATACAGCAGGAGCATTAATTTGGAAGGCACAGAACCCTCTCTCCAAAATCTTTTCTCTTACTTCAAACATGCTTTGCAGGAGGAGTGAGGAACAATCATATGGAGCCTCTTTCTCCATAGGTGAGTTGAGGAATGAAGACCTCCAGGACAAGGCAAGGAAACATCATCATCTGTCTCGTCCTGCCTGAATGACTGTTCTCCGTCTGAACTTTTCCAATTCTTCCCCAGATTCTGATAGAAGAAGAATAGGGAGGGCAAGGTTTGGGCTTTAAGGAAAGGAATAATTTCAGAGAGAGGAACATGGTTTTCCTTCTCTGAAGGCCTTACTCTTTCCATAATTCAGCCTGCCAGATGCTCTAAAACCTCTCAGTTTAGAAGTCAGATTCAGGAGGAAGTCAAAAACAATAACAGGAAAGAATTAAGTGGATTGATATCTCAGGACCTTTCCCCCTTACCCATAGTCCTGTCTACCCATTCTTGAGTCAGTAAAAAGCTATACAGGTGTGAAATTCATTGCTGATCCACATATTGCCTCTGTCGCCTGTGTTCCCAGTCCCTGCCAGTCACCTGATTGCCCTTCAAGGTAGTGGGTGATAAAGCCTAACGGGTTTGACACAGTTTGAGGCTACTCTCAGAATAAGAGGAAAAGCTCTATTTTAATACTAGTATAACTTAGGACAACTTGAACCTGGCTCATGTTGCAGATGAGAGGAAGACAATGTCATAGGCAGAAAAGAGAAGTGGCCATTTATGGTTTGATGCAAATGGGGACATGATTTTGGTGTAATATACCATTTCCTCAGCAACAGTTGAAACTTCTCTCCCTTCTTCTCTGCCCTATCATCTCATTCCCATCCAAGAATCTCCCTCTTCTTTGCTTGACAGAATATACAGTGGTTTAGGACAAAATGATTTGACCCCATTGCTAGTACAACTTCAGTACATTCTGGCTCTGCCTATGGGAGGCAATCTGGAATTGAAGAAAAATGTACCAAACTGTCAAAGTAGGTGAATTACTTGATTATAAATCAGCCCGCTATTTTCTGGCACAGTTTTGAGTTCTAGCTGGCAGACAAGTTAAGATTTATACATGATGTTCAGGATACTAAGGGTGAGCAAATCAGTTTTGTTGGAAAAATACCTTTGTTACTCTACAATATTGTCCATCCCATACAAGGAGTTAAGAACAAGAAAAGCCTTAATATATTTTTACATATAATTTTAAAAATAAAAGTAGAAAGTTTTAGGCAGTGGCAATAGTGTAATATTATATATTTGCAGAAAATTATGGTTTGCATTATCATCTGAAAGTACAATATAATCCTTATATTTGTTCCATTAAGTAAAAAATTTATCAACAATGTTACTTAAACCAATTGTACATCTTCTAAGAGCAGCTAGATTGTTATATACAAAATAGTAGGGAAATAAGAGTTTCTTTGAATATTTGGAACAATAAATAGTTCTGCTAAAACTAACAACATTCAAGAAAGCAGACTAAGGTTGAAAATCTAAGAAGTCCAACTGAAGTGCAACATATAGCCAGGTAAACAGATATAGGATTACAACATAAGCCTGAGAATATATCCACAAATAGCTTACTTTTAGATAATGCTCTGGGTCAGATCTAGAAAACCACATGCATAAGTATCTTTTTGTTGGCTGGGCATTCATGAAGCAAAAGCAGACACTTCCACAGCCGATCTTTTAAAACAAATCAGGATTTCCAAAGATTTAAAACCAGAAGAGCTGACAGTTAAGTACGTCTCACAGGCTGGTTAATCTAGTGGAATACGTCTTATAAGCAGGGAATCAAAACTGTACAGTAGAGTTGTACCACTGCTTAGGTTGTGCAAATTTCTTACTTTAGTTGCACGTGTATAGAGATACATAGAGTTTACCCCCTTTAGAGGTAATGGACAACGCTGGGGTGGAGTCAGCAATGGAACCCAGCTGCTTCTTCATTGCATTGAGTCCTCTGCATGTATAATGGTTAAATGGGGTGATGCCATCTTTATACCGATTTCCCCCTCCTCACACATTCATTATGCTACTGCTCTCTGAACAGTTCTAACTAATAACCATATAGAAAACAGGAAAATCATGAACAGGATTTCTTTCTTTCCTTAATGGGAGAGAGATCCATGCTGGCTCCTATAATGGGAAAGGTTTTCTCCTGCGCTGTTATCCCATAATATCTAACTCACCAAAGCTGCTGTTTATTACTAGATAAGACATAGAGATAGTACCAATATGGACCTATTGCCCATTCTGTAAAACTGGGGAAGATCCTGTTCACAGATCTCCTACTGCAAGAATCCAAACATCCACTAGATGGCAGCAATTGGCTTACAATTTCTTTTTCTCTTTACTCTTTCTATTGATTATCTATTTGTGTTTTTGCAGTTCAGATTTGTAGCCCTTTCTAATAAGAAGTCTGTATTTCTAACAGCATTCAGTGTTTATAATTCAATCAGAAATTTAATGAAGTTTAAAATGTTAAGAATAATTATTTGGCTGTTAATCTTATTCTATTCACTGAAGTGTCTGTATAAATATGTTTAAATTCATTGTGTTAAATATGAACTGTGGACTTATTTCTGTCTGAGATTTATTTAATGTTTGAGATTTGCTTTCCTGAAATGTATATTTTTCTGATGCTGGTACTATTACTAAGGGAATAAAAGTAGATTAAATATTAAAAGGGGAATGCAAATATAAGCCTTATAGAGAATTTTGAAGGTTTTTGAAAGATTAAGAATAAAACTACAAAACCACTTCTGAAAAAATCTTGCCAAAAAAACTGCAGGGACTTTTCCAGGCAGTCGCTAGGAGTCAACACTGACTTGAAGGCACCAAAAAAAAAAAAGAAAAAAAGAAAAAAAAGGAGTTTTAAAGTCATACGAATAATGTCATAAAATTGTAAAGGTTCAAGATTGGTATTTTCAATAACATGGGCAAATAATACATCAATATCTGCATATTTTCACCAACTTCTAATTCCCTAACTAATAAGGGAGCTTTCTATGGGTTCCTTGGGCCAGGAAAGCCATCAACATTCTTTGTTAATTTTTCATATCCTGTCATTTACAGTGCTGTCATCTGCCCACTGTGACTGATTGAATGTAAAATATGCCATTGGACACAGCAGCCTGTTTTTAATAACATTTTCATGCAAACTCTTCGAAACCCTAAGACTAAGTGCATTGCCAATGGGAGGCTTCTAATTCATTTGAAGGGTGCTGTTGTTCAGTCCTCATTAATTTTAGAGGTTTGCAGAGATTTGTCCTCTTCCAAATCGTTATCTAGCATGAGGGACTTAATTGCACTGGAGATGTCAAGGTCACATTGAGGAGAAGTGGCTGTTGCACCTAAATCTAATCTTGAATGTCCTTGATAGCCAGTTTGGAAATGGGAAACTGAACAGGTAGATGTATTGTCGAAGGCTTTCACGGCC